TAAGATGATTGTTTTTGGGGCAAATGTCTCGGTTGCAGCGAGGCTTAAAACTTTTTCTGTTTACTCAAATGATCTGGTGATTGTTTTTTAATTTATTTTGATGTTCAGCGATGTCATGTGTTTCCAATCTGAGTTAGCCGAGGCTTTTAATTTTTTTGGTTAGATTTATCACTAATTTTTGAAATTGAATTGCCAAGAAGTAAAAATTCGTCTTAAAAAGTAAAAGTAAAGACATACGAATACTCGAAATGTATTTATGAATGTTGTTTATTAAAGTAATAAAATAAATAAATAATTGTTTATTATAGTAATAATAATAAATACATCGAATTGCCGTAGGCTTATGCTACTAGAATCGAGTAACATCAAAGGGTATAAAAGAGAACAATGCAAATAATGGTCAAATAATGAACGTGTCGCATTTTCATTGAACACTAAATCACCCGCTGTGTTGCACCCCAATAGTGACATCTGTCGTAAACTTTCTACTAGGTAGGTATACCTAAATATTATTTTATACGCTGCTCTGTATATGCAAAATTTAGGACATTTACTATTCATAATGAATTATTGACACTTGATGGAATTTCTAGAATATTTTTTTATTTGTGCGTTTTTTAACAGGATTAAAATAAAATGGTAACCCCGCCTGCACTGTTTGTGTACATTGGCGAAATATCAGTAAAGGATGATAGATGACGATGAAAGGATGAAAGTCAAGACTGTAGACCCATCGTAATTAATTCATCAGGAAAAACTACGATGGTTTCATGAGGAAACCGCATCGAGGTCGTTATAATATTGGCAGCAAGGGAGCCATAAATTCCCAGTAGGTACTAATAATTCCTCTCTCCCCTGTATTTTTGCGTTTCTCTCGTTAGATATCAGTACCCATTTTGATTTCTCGATTGTCTTGCATTTATGAGAGATTAATTGATTAAAACTACCGTGTTCTCAAATTTTAAAATGTTAAATATCTAATTTCAATAAGTACAAAAAATTGTTTATTTTGTATTAACGTCACCACGCTAATTTATGAGTAAACTGGTTATGTTTATTATACTTTTTATGTGCATCTCAGAGTTAACTATGCATCTTTTCCTGACTTATTGATCGTTAATGTTTGTATATTAAACATAGATGGGTACTTAATTTTCGTGATCTATATTATTATTTTTATCTTAGTATATATTTATTATTTATGGAGACGATTTACAAAATCGTCTTCATCATAGCATAGGTAGCTCTGTTGTACTTATGTTTCTATCACTAAACAGTTATAGTTTTATTCAAAGCTGTGTTTCCATTTGGAGTGATATTGCAATAAAATCATTGAAATCGTGAATTTTACAGAGGAATAACACCTGAGTCCTCAGGAATGGCAGGATATGGACGAAACAGACTCTGTTATGTTACTTCTATGTCTATAGGCGACGGTTGCCACTTTCAATCAGGTGGGCCGTTAGCTTGTTTGCCATTCTAAGTTGTATAAAAAAAAAACACCGTACGAAGGCATAACAACTTAGTTCTCAAGAAAGACACTTTTGGAGTCCCGACATGATAGTGTATTTTGTCATTTCTGTCATTATTATCCTGCTGTGCTGTTAACTTATTTGCGATTAGAAATCATAAAAAGTTTTTTATAAAGCTTAGAATTACCCACAAACTAAAATACTTAATTGAACAGATTTTGTAAGTATAATCTAGAACAATATTTTTAATCTTAAGTATACATCCGAACAAAACCTATACGTAAAGTGACGTAAAGTACGTAATGTGAAAATAATAATTTAAATTCCTCTTAAAAATTCAAAGGATTTACGTACTTATTACAAAGGTAAATGAAAGAAAACCTCCCACTTCATAAATTTTATTTATGTCTGTAATATATTTACGTGTAGTATCGTATTGATTTTAAGTAATATACATCACTTATAATTTCTAATGTGATACCACTAGACATCAATATACGCAGGTAGTACAGTGTAAAATATGAATCGTTAGTGCATATAAATTATTCGATAATAAATTATAATCGAATAATTTTCTCTAGGTCAAATTAATTTGTTTATATTATTGTAAATATCCGCATATACTTTACAAACAACACATTCTGTACTATCTGGGAAGTAGATGCGGATGTACACAAAGCGAAGAGTCAACATCAAACAAGGAAGCGCAGAGTCCGTGCCGACGGTGACGTCACGCACAAAATTAACCCGATTCCAAGAACTGAACCGTTGTATGTCAGTGCACTTGTCTTGATAGACGACGCACGTGTGGACATATTACACTACAGTGTAAGCAATCCAGTAATACCCTGTAAATATGCCACTAAATGTCTTCCTGAGCAATGCGGCAGAGAATCTACACGTATTATTAACAATATTATTCAATACTTAAACTTTATGTGAATTTTAGGTACCTACATTCTTTTATCTATATTGTAATTTAAGATAAACTATCTAACAATTTTCGTAATTTATGTATACATAATAATGATATAAATTAAAGGCCTAGAAGGATGAAGATAATGATAAAAATGATAATATACACACAAATATGTATACCAATTTTATATATTCATTTTTATCTATATAATTCATCTCTTGGAATTTCCGGCAATACTTTTCGAATTTTCTCTTTTAAAATATTTTATAAGAAAAAAATATTAAATACTCGGAATTTATATTTTTACCCATATAAAGGCTTTTCTTTTATTTTTAATTACAAATCCTTGAATTTAAATAAATAAGTTAATAATTTAGGCATATTTTTTTCCAAAAGTAACATACATAAATAGGTAAACAGTCAATGATCATAATTTAAAATTTTGTTCCACAAAAACATTGACTTCAATCGTGGCAAAACCAGTTAATTTTAATATTTTATCTGAATTGAAACAGTTTTGATAAAATTTCTATTGAGCCAATCTGAAAGTAAATCTTTTCAATAGAAAAAACAATTTTCCAAATCTATTTATATACAACAAAATTCTGAGGTAACAAACATTAAAATAAAATATAACCGAATTGAGAACCTCCTTTTAAAGTCGATTGAAAAGTCTAAATAATGTATTCAGTAAAGCCCAATCACTTAGCATAAATACGTCATGTAACACATAAAAAATAGCCTGCGATAAACTTCCTTTTGGACTTAGTATTTAACATTAAGATATTTTTTTTAATTTGTTACTCAATCACGTTTAAACGTCTAATAGACTTAAATAAAATTTAGTATACATAATTTTTATTCTAATTCAGACTCATAATTCTGCGAACTAACACATGTTAAAAATTCAGAAATGGAAACAATTAATAAAAAATTTAAAAGATTCGAAATAAATATAAATTATTAATATCATGAACATGAAAAATTTCAAATACCCTACAATTAAAAGAAACTGTTTATAACTTAAGGGGTGCGTATAGAGTTGTCTTTTAACATATAAAAAGTCAATGAACTTCAGGTCACATAGAGTCGTTACTAATGGCAGTCTAAGAGAGGAAGCTATGATATTTTTGCTCAGTGTATAGCTGAATTACAATTATGATAAGTTTGCATGAACTAACGAATTTACACTAAAATTATTTTGAAACAATTTTTAAATATATCCAAGACCATTAATTAAATAGCTGACAATAAATACATCAATTTCGTCTTAAACTTTGAGATTCACACAATTTGAGAAACCCTGAACGTAAATGTACGTAATATTAATATCGGCCGCTCTCCCGCAGTCTTGTAGGTACCTACTTCGTTGCATCGAACCATCCGTTTATTTAATGTGGAAACATTTTAATTGAGCACTTTATATCTTTACGACATAATAATAAAGCAATAAATGGTACTAAATATGACGCCAGTACCTAGTATCCAATTTAACTTAATCTGCTTATCCATAAATGAGATATAAATAGCATAACTATAAGCAAAAAAAGATGGGCATCCATTATTGTACAGGAAGCCATTAAGACCAACAGACAGATATTTTTTTGTCTTATTTGTCTAGGAATGTTTACATATATTATTCTTTAATATATAGCGACTATTCGATTCACATAAATTAAATTCCAGTTTCTGAATATTAATTTCGTTTTATATAGTGCTAGTTTTGCACGTGGCTTTGTCTGTAGACCAGGATATATTAAATAAATATAATCATGCAAACAAATAATTTGACCCCACCATAAAACAGTCTGCTGATAATTTTAACAAAATTTAGTAACGTTAATTCTATTGAAACGGGCTATTTTAATAGAATTAACGTAACTAAGCACAGCAAATACAAAACTAAAGAGACAATACAAAATAGAAAAAAGATAGTTTAGTTAACTACAAAAATATTATTTACAAATGAAAGAAGAAGCCCCCACAATTAATTTTCTCTGCACTCCGGGAGACCATACTGAGTATTTACTTACACATCACTGCTTATTTAGAGCGCGCCAGAGACTGTATCCTCAGACTACTTTTTATAATAGAGTACGAATAATGCATGAATGGATAATAGTAAGGCATTCAGATAGGTACCTACCTATACCTTTCCGTAATGGAGAACAAAGCCCAACAGTGGAATGGCTCAGATTCTTCCATAGTTTTTATTTATTTTTTCTGTTATTTTTTCTTGCAGAGGAAAATATACTAAAAAATTAATAAAGACCTACATTTATTATAAGGATGGTCAATACAAAAAATATTAACATGATAACAAAACACAGCTATTTACTACTATGCATCGTAGATACATTATTTTTTTATGCAATGTAGAATGGCAAACAAGCCACGCGAAATCGCGGGTAAAGGCTAATTCTCTATTAAATTAATATAGAATCATTTTGTGGTAAAGTAAAACTGCAAAGAGAGTAATGACTATTCCCAGAAGAATGCAATTCAAAAATGCTTATATCTAAGTTCACTTGATTATTTTTTTTTTATTCCTTTCTTAATAATTAATAAAATTGGTTCAAAATTAGAGATGCAATTGACCATAAAAAATGAATGAATTAAGAAACTCCTTTATTTATAAATCGTTTCAAAAACGACAATAATGCAAGCAATTTATATAGTATTTAAATAACTTGTTCACGAAAATCCAGCTACAATAATGAACATAGATTTACAGTTATTTTGGTCCCATCGCACGAGCTTAACTGAGAAAATCGAGTCAGTAACATGGCGGAAGTAAAAGGCCGGAAGTGCGAGGACATCGTCGGATATCCTGTCTCCACATTTCCCCTCTTTCTCCCTTCTATCCGTGCTTCCCTCGGATTCGTATCCGGTCAGGGACTTCCGCGCTTAACTTTTGACGGCATTATCCTGAAAATAAAATACAGAATCAACTGCGGTTGTATTATTATAATATAGTAGTATAGCTCAACTATGGTTTGCTATAGACATATAAACCGTAACTGGACTACGATAAAAACACAATCAACTAGTTGTATTAAATATTATTTGAAATATAAATAATATGAGTCTTTACAAAATAAATAATTGACAAGCTACTAAAGTTGATCAATAAATTATTTTCATATAGAAGCGTTATCTATTTTTTCTTAATAATTTAATAATTACATTAATATCCTCCTTAAATAAAATCAGGTAAGTACATACTTAAACGAGTATTATGGTTTCATTTTACTTTTGAAAATAAATATCATACTGAAATATCTGTATAAGATTTTAATATTGGATCGTTCCTTTTATTTTACCGATATACAAAGTGGCAATAAAGTGCAATGCCATTAGCTTTCATTCAAACGTGTATACGTAACACGAGAATAATCCGCGTATCGGAGCGGCATCAGCCGTCGGAGCGCGGTTGCTGCCTCTACAAGTGGTGTAACCTGACCCTTAATGCCATAAAGCGTTGCCAGATTGGATATTTTCTCGCAATTCTGGGCAAAACTTTGTCTCTTGGAAAAATAGAATAGTTAATGAATTAAAAAAAAATGCTGTGTACAATTCTGGATAATTATTATGAATTTGATCGAATTTAAATGAAATGTGATAAACAGATAGGTTAAGTAATATATATGTATATAAACTTGTGATATACTCGTAAGATACTTTTTATATTTACATTACAGTAGACAGTACAATTATAAATCAATAAGTGTAGTATATGTACTACACTTATTGATTTATAATCGTATTAATTATGATAATTATAATCGTAAAAAGCTGGGTTTTTTTTTTTATTATTCATTTCGTCGCTCATCGTAGCATCATAGTGTAAAGACTTCATACTGTGGTTTATCTCCAATAGACTGTTATACCACATTCATTGCAAGGACTGTCACATTTGTATTCCACCAACCTCAAAACGTGGAAATTCTCAATTTTAGTATTCTGGATTTTACATTTTCTAAATATAATTATTATAAAAGAATCCATCCCTAAGCCGAAATCTTTGATCCAGTCTATTTAGTTCTCAACTAGCTATGCGCACCTCAAAATACAATTTATATCATTATGAAATACCAACCATACTCGTCAAGGATTAATAGTTGTTATCAATGTGACTTCAACGCAACCGTATTATGAAGACAAATTATCAATTTACAATTTTAATATCGATCTGATAATATTTAAACCACTGGGTGACTAATCTATCGAAAAAATATCTACATAAAGAGCAAGTCGACCATATGACTAAGTATGAAGATCAGCAATAGTACATTTCAATGAGATCATTCAACTCGCGTATCGGTGTCGATTACAAGATCTTACTGTCTGAAACCGATTTAGCATGAAAACATTTTGAGCATTACTCAGGTTTGGCATAAGGTTTTTCTTATTAAGAAATCCTTTATTATCACTTTGCAACTTGATACTTGCTCGGCAGCTGGCGCCTACCGCTTCCGTAGAATGGGTATGCATTCGATTCCAGTTGCGGAATTTGATATTTTGTTGATGGATGCGATATTTCGACATATCAGAGGAAAACGATCTTGTCTCGTGCGCAGCCGTTTTCTGTAACATTATAGGATTTGTGGTGTCAACACAATAGCGCGCTGGCAAAGATAGACAGCTTTAGATTGTCATCAATTATCATTAATGCTGATCATTTAAATCGCCTGTATATAATATTGCAGATGTTCGAGCCCATTTTAAGAATCATGGTTTTAAAGTAGTTATTCGCCTCTCATGTAATCCTGACGACTAAAAAATAATAACAATTATAGACATCTAGTTAATACTACCTGTGTTGCGAACTCCTTAGTTATTTTTAAAGATTTTATTTTTATTATTATTTTTTAAATTTCACTAAAATTCTCATCTCCCCTCTTAAGGAGAGGAGATGGCAACTAACCCCCGGCAGAAGCACAGTCGGCCGGGGTTCAGGGCCCCAGGGAGAGAAACCGGCGTACAATGCGGGCAGAATTTAAGAGCACCGCTTTCTGCATCTTTCCTGGGAGTGAGCCGCCTCGGAATCCCAACCGTCTGAGATGTTGTTCCAGACTGGTTGGGATAAGACCGTTCACCGACATAACGATTGGGATGATTTCGGTAGATGTCACCCCCCACATTTCGGTCACCTCGTGAGCCAGATCGAGATATTTTCTCTTCTTCTCGGTTTCGGCTTTCACGAGGTTCTCGTCATGCGGTATGGTGACATCCACCAAAAACACCCTCGAGAGTGCCCGATCCATCACCACGATATCAGGTTTGTTCGCAAGAACGGTCCTGTCCGTGATGATGGATCGGTAGCCTTACGCTGTCGCTTTCGAGGACCGGCTGGGGCTCGTACTTATAGTACGGCAACCTCTCATTCGCGAGGCCGTACTTCAGAGCTAGCTCTTGATGGAGTATTTTGGCTACCTGGTTGTGTTTGTGCAAGTACTATTATTATTATTATTATTATTACTTTTGTTTCCACCAATTGTCACTTTTGCTTTTTGCTGTCGTAGTCTGTCTTTCGTAGTTTTTTGTATTATAGTTATTTTCCTTTTAAACCCATTGTTTGATTACATCATATATATCAATATACAGTCCATAATATCGCCTACAACCTACTTAAACGTGGACACTAGCTGAATGCTATTTCAGAATACAGTCAAATGTACCGAATAAGAAATGTTCAGAAAATCTTATTATTATGCTGTTATTGGGAAAAACATGCGCCTAAAAGTAGGATTTTAATTGCTTATTTGGAAGATATATTAATTCTTAGGTACGAGTAACTAATATTATAAGTGTGCAAGTGAGTTTGTTTGTTCCTCCTCACCTCTTACCTCCTTAACGGCTGAAATAATCACTGAGTAATTTAGTATTTACGTACTATATGAGATTGTAAAGTATATAGGGTACTTTTCATCCTGGTCAGGTAACATACCACTGTCACACATATGATGTCTTTCTAGACTTAATTTTTAATTAATTACTAGAATTAATTACCAGCTACTGCTAATAATGGCTGTGTGGTTCGGGACAGAATAGACCACCCTTTCCTTTCCCGTGGGTGTCGTAAGAGTCGACTAAGGAAAGACGAGGGATGGGCAGCAGCGTCCCTCTTAAAACATCTCTAAAAGCCTAACTGCGGTTATCAACCAGCCTGTCAAACGTGACAACTACTGCCAAAACTCCCCTTATGGGGAAGGCTTATGTTCAGCAGTGGACAGTTAACGGCTGAAATAATAATAATACTGCTAGTAATTATACAAGTAAGAATATTTAAATTGTATTGCTACACTAAAAAGATTCAAATTACAAATATTTTTAGATTATGTAACATGTGCGTATGAACGCACTCACGTTTATTAATTGCATAATTGTGTCGCAACTGTATTATGTAGTAAGGTAGATTCAATTAATTCACATATGTATTGTACAATACGTTTGTTACTCTAGAATACTCTAGATTTATGTGGCAGTTCTGAATTGCAAAACGTTATAATGATGTGAATGATTAAAATTAATCAGTGTTAGATAATTTGGCATACATATATGTGAGACTACGCAAATTGTGTTCTCTACAGCAAATTTAAGTTTTGTACTTAATTTTATAAAACATATTGTATTGAAAGTGCTTAAATAAATGCATGTAATGGGTTACGAAAAAAAATATTTTTATGATTCAGTAGAACCTTAGAAACCATAATCGGAGTCGATGGAAGACAGACAAATTTATTAAATAATTCTGAATTTAACAAAGACTGCAAAACAGTCAGTTTCGTATGTCGATTAGAGGTATTTTTTTATTATCAGTAGGCATTTTATGTATTTTTTTCGATAGTTTATTTTTTCTATTGAAACCAAATTTAAGACTTGTAAATGCTGCATGAACAGCAAACGCTGATTCACATAATAATCCTGGCTAAATAGCAAGTGGCAGGATTGTCTCTTTATCTCTTACTTTTAGCTAACCTAATTCAAGTTGACATAATGTTTTTTTGGCCTTCTTTCTTCCTTGTTTGATAGTGGCGTGATGATTTTAAATAAGAAACTGGTTCCGCTTAATGGAAAACGGGATTTGATCTTTTAATTTTAGGTTTTTATGTTGGCCTTGACATTTTGATTTATAATCGATAAACAAGTTTATGGCAAATATGACATACTGTTTTTATTTCAAAACATACCACATAAATACTCAGTTTAATAAAATAAAATAATATAAATAGTTTTATTGATCCAAATCCAAGAAGTAAGTACTTCATTTCCAATTTTCTACATTATTTTATTCTCATTTCTTAACATATTTTAAATTAAACTACTTTAAAGAAATATACTCATCTCATAAGAGTGTATAAAAAATATTTATAATAACTGAAATTATTTCATGAAGGACTATACGTACAATAATTTCGTAGAGTAGGTAATATAAGTTTGAAAGAGGACTCTGAAAAAATTTACTTTTTGTTTTATTATAAGTGGGCATCAATCAACAAACATGATGTGTCGACATCAAATATTAGAAAAAAGGTTGAACAACATTGATAATATATATTTATAGTATTATACGTAGATACTTTTGATACACATACGAGTCAAATATTGCATTAACATAAAGGATACATTTTATCCTAATTAATGTGGGCAAAGTCGCGGCTTACAATTAATTATAACAAAAACTAGTTACAAAAAAATTTCAACAAAATACAAAAATAACCTAAAATAGTCTCGAGTTATATGACAAAGCCCGATATGTGGTAGCGTGCAGACGAACTAGTGCTAGTCGCGCACGCGCCCTACATGCATAATGCGCGGTGTTACGGCGCGTTACGTGCGCGCGCGCCGTTATGCAAGCCGCGCGGAACCGGCGTGAGAAGCCGCACAACACCTGTAATACACGTTGGCCAACTTACGGGAACAGATATAGTGAGCGGAAAAACTCATGGGACTCCGCAAATCTAGGTAAAATTTGTTTCACAGAGACTTCGTTATCAGCTCAGTCTGGTACGTTATTATTAGCTACTCTAATATTTTATTTTTACAATAGAATGGCAAATAAACTGACGGCTTACCTGTTTAAAATACTGTCACCTAATGATATGATAAGAACAATGAATATCACAGAATATACTGTATTCTTAACGCGACTGTATTTATTGTATTAGGCTTATATATATATATATATATATATATATATATATATATATATATATATATATATATATATATATATATATATATATATATATATATATATATATATATCAGAACATTAAGTCCGCCCTGTAGACATATTTTAATGTATGCAAAAGTATAAATAAATAAATAGTTTAACATCTCAGAATTTTGTCAAAATTTAGGTTGAGTTTATATTTTATTGATACCTAGTTCATCCATGAAACCGAAATACGTCGAATAATATAATGTACATTCTATAGTACGTATATACCAAATTTTGGGATAATTTGTTAAGCCGTTAAGGTGCCAAGAAATAACAAAAAAAGAAACCTATTTATTTATATATACTTTATTGTATACACTAGTAATACACAAAAAAAATATAACAGATGTAAGCATATACTCGTATACAAAGGCGAGCCTAACTCGAAAAGAGTTCTCTTCCAGAAAATCCGAAGTCCAGTAAATCTTACTTTCACATTTACAAATATTGAGTAAGGATCATGATAGTACATTATAATGTAGGTGTAATGAAGACTCGCCATGTGTTCCCGGCATAGAATGAGCCACCCTTCCTTTTCCTTGGGTATCATAAGAGACGACTAATTGTCAAGGGATAAGCAACAGCGGCCCTCTTAAAACATCACCAAAGTCTAACTGCAGTTGCCAATTCGCCTGCCAAACGTGGCAAGTACTAGCAAAATCCCAATTGGGAGAGGCCTATATTCAACAGTAGACAGTCCACGGCTGATATGATAATGATTATAACGTAATTTTAATTATACACAAAAACGATTCATTCTATAGATTTTTACGCTCTGAGTGTTAAATGTATTAGTTTAACATTTTCCAAAAAAAAAAAAAAAGTAATATATAACATTTCATCATAATTATAAACAAGTCGCTTTTTTTGTCATTGTTCAATTCATATTTTTTCTAAGAGACTAAAGAATGCTCTCTTCAAACGATGCTTATGATTACAATTTGACCTTAATCTCTAAAGATCTAACATAGCGCGCCTACCTATATATTTATTCGAGATAGTTATAATGAAACAATGCTCAGTTTCATACACATAATGTTTTTAAAAT